ATGAGAGGTATATTAACTTCCACCTTCCGAAGTAAGTCTAATATTTCCTTTTCCTCAGCTTTTTTATCATTTTTAATTAACCTTAATGGAAAAGGCGGTGGCACGTCGTAAGGGGGTAGCGTCGGGTTGTCTATTTATTCTTTGTTATTCTCTTTCTAGGACCCTGAATCATCAATATTTTTCTCCTTTTGGGTTGCTTCGTTTGATGAAACAGGTGGTGCCACTACTGTACCGCTCCGAAGAGTGATGGCGCTGACGTTCTCCCTCGGGTTTACTTCAGTTTGAGATGGAAGTTTACCTCGTGATTCCAAGCGACCTACGGTTTGAGCCAGTTGGCTCATCTGCTTGTCTATCTCTTATAAGTGGGCTTCAGTATGATTCTGGAATTTTTCCTGGGATAGTGTTAACCTCTCGACAATCGACTTTAGTGATTTCTTTTGCGGCTGTTGTTGTGGTGGAGGTGGTCTCGCTTGACAGCCTTGATTTGGTCTTGAGTTCTTAACATAGCTGAAATTCAGATGATCCTCCATCTTGGGTTGTATGTATTGTCGTAGGGATTATAAGCTCTTTGGAGAGGTCCCGGAAAGTCCCCGATTACATTAACTTGAGCTGTTGCATCATCTTGAATCAGTGGACAACTGTCTATTGGATGATCAGGTAATGCACATATTCCACATAATTGGTTTTGTTCTATCTTTCCTGCAACAAGAGAGTTTACGACTTCAGTTAACTTGTCTATTATATTTTCTAAGGAATATGAACTTATCTCATGAACCCTTCGAGAAGGTTCATTATTTGCGTGGAACTGTTGGGAATTTGCAGTCATCGTCGATATTAAGTGCCTTGCCTCGGTGGGAGTCATATTCACTAAGGCTCCGCCGCTGGCAGCGTCCATCATCTTCATTTCCAGGGGAGATAATCCTTCATAAAAGTGTTGAAGGAGTTTTTGTTCAGTTAACCCATGTTGTGGGCAACTAGAACATAACTTCTTAAACCGCTCCCAGTAGTCGTAAAGTGACTCTCCATCAAGCTGCTGCTTGATTCCAAGTATTCTTCTTCGTAGTTCACTTACTTTTGCCGCAGGGAAAAACCTGTCAAGAAAAAGATGAGTCATATTAGCCCATGTAGTAATAGAATTAGGAGGAAGATAAAATAACCACTCTTTAGCCGAATCGGCTAAGGAAAAAGGAAAAGCTCTAAGTTTTATTTTGTCCTCGGTTACTCCCTGTGGTCTCATGCTGGTACAGACCATATAAAATTCCATGAGATGTTTGTGTGGATCCTTGTTTGGTAATCTGCGGAATGTAGGGAGGAGATGAATAAGGTCAATTTTTAATTAGTATGGAGTTTCTCCTTGGGGAAAATCAATGCACAAATGCCCTTGTTCAGTAGGTGCCGCGACTAACTCTCCCGGATAGTAGGTTCGACCATCATAATTGTATTACCTGAGTTTGATTCTTCTTCTGGATTTGATTGTTGTCTACTTCTTTCCCGAAGTGTCTGTGCGTGGAGTCTCCTAGCTTTGGCTTCGATCTCCGGGTCGTACTCCACTAATGCTCTCGGATTAGTCCTGGTCATATATCAAAAGCAAACAAATATTAGTAACTTTGGTGAAGTCCCCGACAACGGTGCCAATTTGACAATTTTCGTTTTAGATGTCAAAATAAATTCCTTATTCTCAATTAATAAATAAAGGAAATACGTAGTAAAGAGAAGTAAGAGTCGAATCCACAAGGACTTAGAAAATTATAAATTTTTGTCTGATTTATTTATGCCAGGCGTGAAATTGTAAAAATAGGGGGAATTTTGGTAAGAAAATATTAAAATAATAAAAATGATTAAATAAGTAAAAGCAATTAAAGTAAAAATAAGAAGATGAAGATTGTGAATAAATACGGTAAAAGTAGCCTCAAGCTTCGCTTTGACTCAATTTCCTTATGATCATCAAATAAGTTTTTCTCTTCGGGATTCACGTCGGTTACTTTGTCTACTAGGGTTATCCCCGTGACTCTATCTTGCATACCGAATACCCAAGGCAATCTTTGATTCTGGATTCGGTAATTGATTCTAACAACATCAATTATCGTAGATCAATTACCGTGTAAGTTCATGACGACCGACTCGGATTGTTGCTTCAATAACCGTCAATTCCGATCTCAATTCCCTCTTGGCGAAGCTATCTCGCCAAGTGTATTCCCAGGAAGTCGAATTGCTTTCTATAAGCCGAACCTTCCTCCCACACATTTAATCACAACAACCTCTTGATCAAAGTCAATATTTGATTTTTGAAAATTGTTTTGATTTTGAAAAATAAGCGCAGAGATTGAGGGAGATATTCCGAAGATATTAAGGGACCGTTTCAATTCTCCCGTTGGAATTGAATCATCGCGACAGCTCTCGGCTTATGAAAAGTTTAGCTAAGCATGACAAAAAGTCATACTTAGCATATTAAAAACAAAGCTTGAAAATAAAAGAAAAAGGGAAAAAACTTGAAAAGTAAAAAAAAGAAAACTTTAATAAAACTAGAGAGAAAAGAAGAATGTAATTTGAGTGATAAGTTTAGGGTTACCACAAGTGGGTATTTATAGCCTCTCAAAGCCTAATGGATAAACAAATAAAATAAATAAAATAATCCTAAAGAAAATTATTTTTTAATTTAAATTCAAACTTAAAATAGTCTCCTAATGCAACTCTGCTCGCCAATTTTCCAAAAGGCATGCGGATAAAGTCTTCTAGAAACCGCCGCTGACTGAACCTTCTACAAACTGCAACGTCAGACCGCGTCGTGTCCAGAGTCGTGCCCATATCTCCAGCCGTGACCAAATAATAATAAAAATGCAGAATTCACCCGTTTTGTCACAAATTCCGGAAAACAAGGACCTGTACAAAAATAAGTATAACACGACCAATTCAATAGCAATAATTCCACAAAATCGAAGAAATAAACAAGCAAAGATTAACGATTTTGAACACTCATCAATCGACTTCTATATAGGAGGAAGTCAAGAATAACATATATTGACTTCTCTTCACGAGGAAGTCGAGAATAACATTGAAAGATTAACTCCTCTTCGCGAGGGAGTCAGGAATAACAAAGATTGATTTCTCTTCATGAAGAAGTCAAGAGTAACAAAGATTGACTTCTCTTCACGAAGAAGTTAAGAATAACAAAGATTGACTTTTCTTCACGAGGAAGTCGAGAATAACATTGAAAGATTGATTTCTCTTCACGAGTGAGCCGGGAATAACAAAGATAGTATTCTTTTCAGAAAGAAGTCGAAATTAACAGATTTTGACTTCTCTTCACGAGGAAGTCAAGAATAACAAAGAACGAATTCTCTTCACGAGGAAGTCAAGAGGAACAAAGATTGACTTCTCTTCACGAGGAAGTCAAGAATAACAAAGATTGACTTCTCTCCACGATGAAGTCAAGAATAACGAAGATTTATTTCTCTTCGCGAGGAAGTTAAGAATAAAAAATATTGACTTATCTTCATGAGGAAGTCAAGAATAACAAAGATTAACTTCTCTTCATGAGGAAGTCAAGAATGATAATGAAAGATTGACTCTTCTTCACGAAGAAGTCAAGAATAACAAAGATTGAAGGTTCTAGGGAAATTATCTTAAGAGAATTATCGATACTAATTGTTCTTTTTCAAGTTGTTCAAATTTCAGTAAGCAAAATTGGTATCGATACTCTAAGAATATTGATCCTACTTTACATAGTTGTATCAATACCACAAACCCGAGTATCGATACTAGTCAAGCCCAACAATCACTAACTGCTAGTTTATTTAAATATTATAAAAGAAGTACTAATACTATCTGATGGCAGTGCCAATATTCCTTGTTTTGGACAATTTTATTTTGCAGAAAATTAATTTCCTAACGGCTCCAAATTAACCATCCTCAACAGCAAAAAATGACTACTAACTCATTCAAACTTATAAAAACAACAAAAGAACACTTAAAGAAGGTTAGAACAGTTGAAGAAGGTTAGAACACTCATCCAAGCAATAGAGATCAAGAGAAAAGCTCTGTCACTCTTTATTTCTTCCTTTCTCTTACATACGTTTTGAGTTCATTGCAAATCTTTTAATTGTTTTTGTTGTGAAATTAAATTTGTAAACAGATATCTTATGAGATTTTTCTTGTTTAGTTCTTCATCCTTTATCAAAAAAGGGTTGTCTATGTCAGTCTTTAAAAAGATAATGATTTGTAAAGGTTACTTTTGAGGTCAGAACAAGAAAAAAATAAATTAGTGAATTTGTTAGAAATCCTTAATGTGGAGCTAAGGTAGTAGATGTAGACTTAGTTTATAAGTCGAACCACTATAAATTATTGTGTAATTTTTTATATCCTTTCTCTTCCACTTCCGAATTTTTCAAAAGGTCAATTCACCCATCTTCCCATTCAAACGCAAAAAAGAAGCGAAACCCAGAAATATAAAGAAATGCAAAAGGATCTTGAATCCGTTAATTAATCGGGTCGGAGCTACCTGCGCAGCGGGGCCTCGGGTCAATGAGAAACAGAAGACCAGCGATGAGGGAATGTGAAGGACCAGCCCTGTAGAATATAAATTTAATAAGTTAGCTGCTGCATTGTGAAACGAGGTTTATTTTATAGCACTTTAAATCCAACGGCCTAATTTCTTTCTCTCCATCCGACGGTTAGCAGTAGTTATAGTATATTTTAGAGAGAGAAAACTCCTGATTTGTTTTTTTTAGGTACGAAAAACCCTCCTGATTTAAGTGAACTAAAAGATGATTGTTTGATATTTAATAACACGATTTTTTTCAATTGAATAGTAATATTAAATAATTTTTGTTCTTATAACATACTACGTGAATAAAAAAGTTTTAATGCTGTTCATAAAGAAGAAAAAAAATTAGAAAGATGCATGAGAGGGATTGATAAAGATGCAAGTAACACACATGTCAGTAAAAATAGTTTATAATACAAGTAAAGATGGATAGATACACATATGGAGTATATATAGATATCAAACATGGCTCTTAATGGAAGAGCTATATCCGCTTTGATCATCATAGTACTTGGACCAAAGCATAACGCCCCCATACTTGGAGGAATTCTTTATAGCTGGGAGAACCCTGGATGTGAGATCATTCACCGGGATGAAACCGCTGCCCGCGGCATCCAGAGATGCCGGTAGGCCGAGGAAAATCTTCGTCGCCGGTATATCCGAAGTCCATTGTTTCCATGCATCTTCGAGGTTGACAATATCGGCAGATGAGTACTGGCAAGGAGGATTGTTGTAGAATTGGACCCAAACATAATCGAATAGACCTGTTTTGAGTGCATTTCCGACCCAAGCATCAGGGAAAGGGCATTGAGGAGCAGCCGTCAAGTACACTTTCTTCCCTTTCTTGCTATATCCCGAGAGGTACTTTGCGAGATCATCCCAGTGTTCGCCCGTTCCTCCCTCGATATCGAAATCTATTCCGTCGAGAACGGCAGGTCCGAGCGGTCGAGACGAAGATGTTCCCCCCAAGAAATTGTTCCAGAGATACATTGCAACTTGCCTAGCGTCATCGGACGAAGCAAGGGAGTAACTACCGGCGCCTCCGCCCAATGAAAGAATGACTCTAACACCTTTGGCTTGACACGATTTAATGTCGGAGCTTAATCCGGTACAGCCATCGCTATAAGGATCACAATGACCGGCTAGGTTTATCATGGGAGTTTGGCCATTGCCAAATGTTGCCAGGAAGGCTATGTTCACGTATTCATACCTCCCCGTCGCACAAGTCTCGGCTAGGGTGCCTTCGTTGCCGTTTTGGCCCCAGTAGATGGAAATCCCACCACCATTTGAACCAGTTACTAGCGCCAAAACAATCAACCAGATGAATGAAACTGATACTTTAAGCTTGAATGCCATGTTCTTTAGGGTTTCTTTATTACAAGATCGAGTTGTTTCTGTGCTGAAACTATGGTGTTGAAGGGCCACATTTATAGCACAAAAATGGCGCTTGTCGTTTGACAATTAATCTGAAATTTTGCAGCAGAGAACGTAGCGTCCCATTATTCTATCACGTCTCAATATTTTAATGCTTACCGTAAACTTCAGGCAAGCAGTATGCCAGTTTAATGGAAATCCTACGGCATTCACCAATCACCATGTCATGTCCCAGAGCTCCATGTCCAGTTGATAAGTTAATCATATTGAAAATTGTCCAAATCATATTATATAAAAGATAGATTTCAGAGCACCGTTGCTATTCAACCATTCAATAAGTCAAAACTCGAAATGCATTTCTATACCACTTTCTTTTATCTTGTTAACAAATTTAATAAAAGGTGATATAAGTTATGTTTTTTTACTTTATAATATAAATATATATAGTAATTTCTTATTTATATGGAAATATAGTTAATATTATACGAGTTTTGTTATATTTCTCTATTATATATATTATATTAAATTTTTTTAAAGAAAAATATTTTTGTCGTAAAACTAATATGTGGAATAGTCTCTTAAATCATTGGAGTACAATTATGTAAGTCATTTGAATGAAAGGGCATCTAATGAACCATGTATGTTGATATAAATTGATAACCTGATTTTTAGATTTGATTGAATTTATTCAAAGTTTTCAAAAATAATTCAAAGTTCATAAAATTAGAATTTAAACACAACAATTTTTTGAGTAAGTAGTACCGATATTGTTCTTACATTATCAATACAGTATGAACAATACTAGTACTATTCTTGAGGTATCGATGCTACATGTAAGAGAAGTATCGATACTAATTGTTGTTTTTCAAGTTGTTCAAATTTCAATAAGCAAAATTGGTACCGATACTCTAAGAGTATTGATACTATTTTATATAGTAGTATCGATACCACAAACCCTAGTATCGATACTGGTCAAGCCCAACGATCACTAACTGCTAGTTTATTTAAATATTATAAAAGAAGTATCGATACTACCTAATGGCAGTACCAATACTTCCTGTTTTGGACAATTTTTATTTTGCAAAAAATTAATTTCCTAACGGCTCCAAATTAATCATCCTCAACAGCTAAAAATGACTACTAACTCATTCAAACTTATAAACACAACACAAGAACACTTGAAAAATGTTACAACACTCATCCAAGCAATGGAGATCAAGAGAAAAACTATGTCACTCTTTATTTCCCCCTTTCTGACATAAGTGTTTAACTCATTGCAAATCTTTTAATTATTTTTGTTGTGAGATTAAATTTGTAAACACATATCTTGTGACAACACAAGAACACTTGAAAAATGTTACAACACTCATCCAAGCAATGAAGATCAAGAGAAAAACTGTCACTCTTTATTTCCCCCTTTCTGACATAAGTGTTTAACTCATTGCAAATCTTTTAATTATTTTTGTTGTGAGATTAAATTTGTAAACACATATCTTGTGACAACACAAGAACACTTGAAAAATGTTACAACACTCATCCAAACAATGAAGATCAAGAGAAAAACTGTCACTCTTTATTTCCCCCTTTCTGACATAAGTGTTTAACTCATTGCAAATCTTTTAATTATTTTTGTTGTGAGATTAAATTTGTAAACACATATCTTGTGAGATTTTTCTTGTTTAGTTCTTCATCCTTTATCAAAAGGGGAGTGACTATGTCGTAGTCTTTGAAAATATAAAGATTTGTAAATGTTACTTTTGAGGTTAGAACAAGAAAAAAACAAATTAGTGAAATTGTTAAAAATCCTTAATGTGAAGCTAAGGTAGTAGATGTAGACTTAGTTTAAAAGTCGAACAATTATAAATCCTAATGTAAATTTTCATATCCTTTCTCTTCCACACCCGAATTTTTAAAAATGTCATTTCACCCCTCCTGGCACTTTTCGATTGATCATACAACCTCAAAAATCTTAATAATATCCTTCTCAAATTTTGATATCTTTTAATAAAAATTTAGACTAACTTTTGAAATTATAATTATAATATATACTTAATTATTACTTAAGTTCATGTATCATTAGCATTATTATTTATCACATGCATTTTTATATTTGTTTCAGATAGATAATAGTTTTGTTTGCATCGTATATTTTAATTTGGCTTAATATAAAAATAAAATATATTTTATTTTTTCTTTTGGGTGTCTAAGATTTTTTAGTCAATCCAGGAATATAAAATTACAAACGTTATCACTTTAAGTGTCTTGAGCATAAAGGCTATTAAAAAATTCCGTTAAATAACACGTGCCGCGTTTATATATTTTTTAAAAATATTAAAAAAATATTAAAAATTAGAGAAAATTTCCAAATTTCTTTGAAATTAAAAGAGACCCAAAACCCTCAAATTGCTAATTCAAATTTCTATTTGCAATAATCCCCGACCATCTCCGGCCCTGATCGATCATCACCTTTGTTGTCATTCTAAACCTTTAAATACATAAATTCCATATTTTTAACCCTAAATTGAATGGGAAAGGGATTTAATTGTTTCTTACAAGGATTTAAGAGGGAAAAGGCCGAACTGATGTTGAATTAGTGTCGGGGGGTTGAATTAGCACTACTAACAGGGGAAATTGGTGTCGCTGGAAAAAGAGCGAAGGGGACACGGGGAGGGAAGAGGGCAACTAAAATATTTTTTAAAAAATAGTTTTTTAAATGATATTTTTATTTTTTAAATAAAAAATTATATAAAAATAGATGTGACACTAGGGATGAGCATGGGTCGGGTTTTTGGTCCACCCGAAACCCGACCTGAGAAAAAGGAGTCCTCCACCCGAGACCCGACCCGACCCGACCGAAACAAGATTTCACCCGACCCGATATATAACTTAAAAACCCGACCTGTTCCGACCCGAAATAATATAAAAATATTATTTTTATTCAATAAAAACAGTAACTTAACTGAAAAAAATAATATATATATAGGGGTATTATTGTAATTATTCCTAAATATATAAGATAAAATTATATATTTTTCGGGTCGGGCGGGTATTTTTCACCCTAAATCCGAACTCGGCCCGAACATCACATTAAAAAAAACTAACTCAATCCGACCCGAACCCTATTTTTAAAAAAAACCTGACCCGATCAGGTTTAAAAAATAATTTTTTTAAATGATATTTTTATTTTTTAAAATAAAAAATATATAAAAATAGATGTGACACGTGTCACTTAATATACTTATTTTATTAGACACTTATGTGAAAAAAATGTATAGTACTTAATTTTATATTAAAAATTTTGACAAAATGTTGAGACAATAGGAGTATTATTTTATTAGAGGGTTAAGGAAAAAGTCTCTTAAATAGTTGGAATGTGATATCCTTTAAAAGTAAAAATCTAGCGAATTGTGTTGTTTATTTAAAAAAAAAATCAATTTAGATTTTATTTTCAAATAAAGCTTATTTTGTTTAAATAAATTTACATTCATAAAGAATCAGAATTCAAAATCACATTTGGACTCGTAAATTCTAATTTAAAGACAACATATAATCAATTAAGTATCAAGTTTGAGATTTGTAAGGGTGTTAAGTGTTTCCTACATATAACTAACTCTTGAATTTGCTTAATTTTTTAATCTCTAATTAAACAGAGATTTCAAATTTGTCCTTAAAAAGATATTTTAAAAAATTTCTTTTAAAAGGCAGTTTTATAGGTGTTTGTTCATATCCAACCCTAAATGATATATATCTACTCCCATCTTATTTTCAAAATTGGTATTTTTAAATAATTATGAACACAAATATTAAAAAAAAAATCAACGAGCTTAAAGATCTTTCTGATAGAGTAACTGTACAACGAAAAAAAAGTTTCTATAGGAAAGATTTGACCAACTCCCCTACTTAGTGTCTCACAAAGAACAACATACAGTTGCCCTATTTATGAAGTTCAACATATGATATATTGAGAGCATTTCTAAGCAAAGTGAAAGTAGTATAACGTTTATGGGGAAAAACCAAATAATTTAGGAGAATAACTTGATCGAATTTTTAAATATGATATTAGGTTTATTGCATTATTTCCAAATTAATATCAAATTGTATAAATTTTAAGATTAAGAGTGTTACTATACCAGGCGTTGTTAGTTGTTAGACGTCTGTTTGATCGTTTCAATTTTTAACAGTAGAATGATTTGTTATAATATATTTGAATTTAGTGATTAAATTATAAATTTAAAAGGAAAAAGGTTACTCATTTATAACCGACAACGACTCATGTTTCTATTATAAGCTTTGAATGTTTTACTTCCGTTAAGCAAGTGGATAGGATAGACTAAAATCTGAATAATATATAAAGCATTGCCTCTCTGATATTCTTTTGTGGACTTCAGTAGGACATAAACTAGGAGATTTTGATGTCTTTTATACGTAAAGGGATTCTATGAATAAACGACGATGCCACGTTGAGCATTGATATGCTTGTCCATATGTTTTGTTTGCTCAGCCTGCCTGTTTCAAATAATTTTGGGCGTTCCTCATAGCAACTAATGGTTAAGATGTAAGGCATGATTTTAATGCTTTAAGACTTTTACATTAATATTAATTTAACTGTAATTTAAAACACACGATGATAACACGCTTTTAATACAGATTTATATTATGATTAAAGAGATCAATCGGTGTCCGACCAGTAGATATCCATGCCCCCCCAATCACTTTCAGGAACTCCAAGAGCCTTCCAAACTGCTTTGGAGGCATCAACGATGTTATTAGGGCAAGGAGGCTGATAATCATGGTCCGAATCGCATCCCATCGTAGAATCACATTCGTCGACGACTTTAGCCCTCACACTTCTTCCATTACCATAAATGTTAATATACTTCAAACACCTCTTTTGTCGTTAAACCACCCGGTTGAAAGTGCCACCACAGGGTCATCATCCGAGTGGTATTGGTTGTCACATTCCGACGGGCCGCCGCCATCTCCACCGGCCTGAAAGCTGTTGAGTGTCAAC